AATGATTAAATAATAATGTTAATACCGTGGTTAAAGCCAATTTATATATATTTTTTTCAAACAATACAATTTTCAATTTTTTAAATTAAAAGTATACCAGTACCGTTTCCAGGGATGTCAACTATAACTGCTTTAACTACTAAAGCTTCTCTAAACTCCAAACATTTGCAAACTGACGTCACTCAAATAAAGTTGTAGTTTGTACGTTTATCGGTAGTTTGTTGATAGTTTATTCAGCGTAATGTCAATTGAAAATACAAAAAATATCAATTTCCCACCTGGCTTTTATTCCAGTATTTATTTTGCTTACTATTTATAGATGGCGTTATTTTTTGTTTCTTATTCTCACACAACCACGAGTAAATTTAACGCATATACAGATTTTATTAGAGATTGTAATAAAAAATGTCTATTCCTTGCTGATGAGGCCCAATAAAGACGAAACTGGTCCAAGAATGACGTTCTCCTGTTGCTTGGCCTATTTTATGACTTCAATTTCATAAATGTTCTTCAAATGTTTTGTTTAAAGTTTAAAAAATCGGTTTTTCTTTAATTACTCTTTTGACTATTTTGATTATACTTTATTTATAGTACTAAGAGGGAAATTTAAACCAGATTGGATTAAAATTCTAGTGGCCCAGGGACGAGCCCAGGGAAACCTAATTGAAATTCAGAAAAAACCCACCGCTGATTTTCATAATTTTAATTTAGATTTGACGATTAAAAATTAACTTTTTCACCTGTTAATATTTTTAGCCTAAAATTTCTAAACACGTTTGTATCATAAAAGTGTTTTTTATAATCGGGGAAGCCAAAATGTCAAGATGGCCATGCAAACAAATTATAACATTGCCACGCCTTCAGATTAAATATGTGGTTGTTATTGTTAGTTAACCATTTGTATGCAAAGTAAAACTTGTTTTTCAAAAATAAGTGGAGGATTGATTAAACATAAATTTCATTTATAACTCATAACAGGGTCTATTCTGTAACAATTCCTTTATATTTAACGGCCTTTAAAAATATTGTCGGCCTATAAAAACATGTTCGTATTCGTTAATTTACTTCTGTCATTATTTAAACAGATTTCTTTAAGATAGTCCTCTAATGTATTTTAAAGATCCGTTTAAATAATGACAGAAGTAAAGAAGAAAATATTTTTAAAGGCCGTTAAATATAAAGGAATTGTTACAGAATAGACCCCAACCACAGCTTATACAATACAGCTCCACAACTCCGTGTCGGCGCCTTTGATTTGGCGGTCGAGAACCAAGCAAGACGGAATGGTGCTATCGCTGTTAGATTCGACGGAAAAGTCGGGCCCGGATTAAAAAATATTTTTATTATTGAAATAAATGAAGATCTTGGCGTAATAAGGTTGGTTACAAGTAAGTTTTGAGAAATAAAGTTTTAAATAATATATTTTAATTCTGTCAAATATAAATAAAAAAATTATTTAAATATAAATATTACGAAAAATAGCACATCTTTCGGATTAGAGGTAAAATAATTTGAACGTGGCTAGTAATATCCTTGTTAACAGTTGTTTTGAGCTAAAACAGTCACTTCACGACAAATTATGGCTTGCATCCTTTTTACACTAAGGGCTTCAATTATTAACGATTTTTGTCACGCCCGTAGATGCAAATCAAGTGGTACTCATCTCGCAAAGGGTTTATACCTAGATAAATGAATGATTCGCGTGAGGTCTGGGAACTCGATGGTATTCTGGATTATTATAAAGAATCGGTCACTTGTGCTTTTATTTTAACAATATTGGTTTTTTTAGATGTATTCTTATTCATTGGAATAAAGATTTATAGAAGTAATATTTTGACAGTTTTTATTAATATAATATATTCAATTTTTATCTGTCTGTACCGAAGTAGGGAATTTTAAAACTTGATAGTAATGTGAAATTTGAATTACAATATTACGCGAAATTACATAATTAGTACCTATTTTAGGTAGGTACTAAATTTGTACTTGGAGAAAGTAATATCGATTTATACAAGAAAACTTAAAAAGTAAATTAATTTAGTTCCTATTTGCTGATGTAAACATTAAAACAAGAAAATAAATAAATAGTAGTTTTGTTCAACAAGAGTGAATATAGACAATCCACTCGAGTTGTATAGTATATTTTTTCTACGACCCACTGACGAAATTCTACAAATTTAAAAAATTATTTTAAGTTATTTAGACAACATAACTAATTTTAAAATAATGTATCGAAACTTTAAGGATTTTAGTTTTAATACTCGTAATTAAATTAGTATCATATAGACATTTATGTGGGCGTAGAAAAAGTATTTTGAACAGGGTCAAATTTACTACTTAAGGTTTATTTGACACGGATATCAATTCTTTGACGGTATAAATGCACAGTGTTTGCAAATCGTTTTTTGGTGAGTAGATGCACCTTGCACGGTCAGTTTAAGACATGTTTCAAAACACTCTGTATAAAATAAACCAGTTCTATCACCACTATTCGTTAGCCTAGTATCTTATAAGTCTGTATATTATAATCAATTTTGAAATCAATGAAAAACCAACCTAAATTATGATAATTTAATTTGGTGTCTGCATCATTCTCTAATTTCAAAAAAAAATTAATTGCTCGGCATCCAAGGGTCCCAGGTTCGAATCCCACCGTTGGCTGGGATTTTTTTTATTTAATTTAATTATTTAAAATTAATTCTGATGCCTTGGTAGGATTCCCCACTCGACCATTCACTGTTGGGTTCTAATTAACAGTGCTGTTCCTAAGGTGGCGCTGGGAAAAAGTAACAAATCCTACACAGAACATGAGGCTAATGACCTTAGTAGTCGATGCTGATGACACCAAATTAAAAAAAAATGCTTGGCAACATGTAATATTTTTTATACATTCTACGGTTAAATACAGTATTACCAAACCATTCTAAAAATAAAATAAAGGGTGTTCCATTTAAAAAACATACATTTTGATTTGTTAGGCAAAAACACGACACCCTGTATATCCAAAAATATTTTTAAAACATGTATTTTTCAAATCCATATAACTTATATTTAAAACTTGTTTGCGTGTCTACAACACAAATTGAAATATTGAACAATTACACACTAATGGGACACCCTGTATAAATTATATTATTAACAATGAAAATTTCTAATAATGTGGTACTTTCCAGTTTGGGTCCTTGGGAAAACGAAAGAATATTTTCTTGCAGGTATAACCCTTATTAAAACAGCTTTTGACGGAATCGACGCAAACCGTTCCGCCAAGAGAGTGTTTTAGCTGTATTATATAAGCTGTGTCATAACCATGTCTAATTTCACGAATTCTAAAATGGTAATTGATATTATTGTTTGCATCTTGTGTTTTTGAGTATTTTTAGATATTATGTCATCAAAAAAGGACACATCCCAATTTTTATTAATGCAATAAACGTTTTGGTAATTTTTATGTGGGACATGAAATAAAAGTATTTTTCTACAGAAACCCAAGCGATATACGAAAAAATTTTGACAGCCAAAAGTTGCATTTTTAATCGGTTAATCTAAATGAAAAAATTAAAAACAAAAATCAGTGGAGTTTTTTTTAATCTCAATTAGGTTTCCTTTCGAAACACCACTGGATTTGATAATTTTGAACCAATCGGGTTTAATTTATCGTCTTAGTACTATAAACAAACAAGCCAAGTTTAAAAACAAGCCGATTTTAATTAAAATAGTCAAAAGAGTAATTGGGATGTTAATTAAAAAGAAAAAACGATTTTTTTTTAAATTTAACACCTTGTATCTTAAAAAAAGGAATTTGTCATAAAATAAGCCAAGGAATTACCTCCTTCCATACCGGTATATCGCAAAGTTCAAATGTGGGTCCTCTGTTATTTATTATTTTTGTCAACGATATTAGTGACACTATGAACGTTGATTATATTGCTGTATGCTGATAACCTAAAAATATATGCAGCTATTGAAAATATTTCTGACCATAAACAGCTGTCGAAAAATCTAAACAAACTTGTTGAATGGTGCAACAAAAATGGCTTAACATTGAATCCAGCTATCTTTAACGTAATGTCATACGAGTTAAAAACTCATCCAATTATATTTAATTATGTTCTTAATGGATGTTCGGTTTTTAGACCTGAAATTTTTACAGATTTAGTTAGAAGTTACATTTGATCCAGTATTATCGTTTAAAGATATGATACTATACAAAAAGATATGATATTACGCAGATTGAAACTGCGTCATGGTGCCGTATCGTGGTATGGAGGCGTAGCTTTTACGAATTTGAGGTATCAGCTGATCGAAAATAAATTTCAATCTGCTCATGGCCAATCAGATGGCCAGTCATATTCCTCACGACAATACGTCATGCGCGAACTAAGCGTGATGTCGTCGAATAAGTATTATACCTCTGTAATTTTTTGCATCAAATACACATTTATCGGCTAGAATCGGTATAAACGCGCTTCCTTAACAATTTGTTTTCGAGCAGACCAAATTTATCCACCGATTGGTATTAATCAAAATGTTTAACTGGCTAAACACAGATTCACGAGATGGAAGTATTTCTCCATAATTAGCCTCTATTAAGTTGTTCATTTTAAAATAAATTGTGAAGCTCTTTTACATAATAATATGTTTAGTTTTAGATTTCCCTGTGTAATCTCTAGAAACGCTGAATGATTTTACATCGCAACTCCTCGAACAAACTGAAGTTTTTACCTGTACATTATAACATGTGTAATAGTTAATTATAATACTATTTGTGAACAGTTGGATATTTTTTAACTGCAATGTTAAAACATAAAAACACATTGTTTAAATTAATTTAGAATTAAGTTACTGTAGTTTCAGTTTGTTATCTATATGTTTTTTGTTAAACATGTAAACATGTTAAACAATATACACCCGTTCTGTAATTGAGTTAAAACCTTAACAGCACATTAAGAAACACTTCGGAGTTTTCATTGGATCTAAAATAATAATAAAGATATACTTACAGAACACGTGCATTCAGTCTTTTCTCCCCTAAGCTCATTTACAACGCTCTGACAGCTCTCGAAGCACACGCAACCGTTGTCGAACGCCCTGCCCGAACTCAAATCGCCTAGACTAAGTTTCGTCGCGCAGGAAGCGGTCTTCTTCAGACCATTCAGCAATGCCGAGGCGTCGCTGTGCGACCTCTGGTGTGACTTTTTCACATGCTGCGGCACGGCCAGCTTGTCGCCGATCGCGCTGTTCAACGATGTAGTCATTAACTGAAATAAAATGTCAAAACTTAGTACTTATAGTTTATGGTTTTGTATAAAAAGACTAGTGATTGTAAAAATATAATAACAATTGAAAACGGTGACAATATTTATAAATTATTGAAGTAATAGAACGCAGAATATAAACTAATACAGAAGCGAAGACTATCAAATTTTTAGTGGTAAAAATTGTTTGCACCTGATTAGGACCATCATGTTATAACTGACAAGACTGGCATATGCGATATAGTCTGAAATTCCGCGACACAATAATCATAAAAGAAATTGATGTAAATGTACCGATTTCAAAATTTACAAATCTTGATCAATTTTTTGCAAGGTATTATTAATCGACAGAAACTTCCAACTGATGTAACTTAAATTTTGATTACCGCGACATCAAAGGTGCCGGTGCAACCCTTCGCTTCTGTATTAGTGTATATTTTGTAGAAATAGTGAAACCTGACGATAATGTTTTCCCAAATGATGTATTGGAAAGAGAATAGCCACATCGGCTACAAGACCTAACCCCCCGTAATTCGGCATTTGAGACAATTTCCAACACGAGGGCTGTTTCGGTATACACACATAGCCTTCGTCTCTTTGGTTTTCAATCAGATATTGACGATTTAATAGGACACCCGGTAACAGTGCTATTTTTGTTACAATTTCGTTAATTGGCCGGGAGCTCGCCTTTTATTTATGTTTGCGTCTACAAGGTTTAAGAATCGTTAAATCTTTTTATTACCTTTTGGTCCCTCGGCCGAAGCTCATCTGATAAAATGAGATTGCGCAATTTGATACCGTGGGGCTTCTTTTTCGTCGGAAGGGATGCGTCTGAGCTGAAAGCGTCCAATAACCAGGCACACTTCAACGAGAAGTCTATGGATTTCCTACATCTGAAAATAAAAAAAAAAAAAAATACGTCAGTAACAGTAAGAAACCATGAACATTTATATTTATTAGTGGCATGGATATACATGGGAATGTAATTGCATAGTATATACGAAGTCAATTCGAACAGCTAAATCAAAGACCGGGTCTGATAAATTTACTAGTTAATATCATATACAACCCTCCCATATAAAAGTGATGATTAGACCTCGTATGAATTTCTTATATCTTACTCCTGTATGTCCGCAGTATTTAGTCGAACAAATAATATTGCATGGGCACACAAGCAAAATATAAAGGTCAAAAAATGTCAGGTCCACTGTAAACACCGTTGTTTGCATTTTCGGGTAAATGGGGCATGTTCAAAAATTTTGAAATTTTTTTTATGAATAGTAGAGTTAAAAATAAAACTACATTTTTTTTATTTTTTTTTTATCTATTCATTTGCCGGAGTTATGAATTTTTTAAAAATTTATGACGTCACCGGGAATAGACCAATAGGAGCTAGCGCACAACGTTGCCGGCTAGAAGGTTTACGAGAAGTGATGTACGTTCGTTTGTGTACTCCTTCTTACTTTTAGACTTCTAAAACATCGTTAAACAAATATCTTTTAAATATATAATATCAAATGTTTTTTGAAAGTATTATTTCTGTTTAAACTTTTACCATATTTAAAGTTTCATTGTTTTAAAAGACACTTAATAATTCAGAAAATGGCAGCACTGTGTATGACATCTGTCATCATAGTGTCTCGATCAAGAATTTATTTGGAATTTGAGTGTTTAATTTTGTACTTTTTATAAATATTATGACTACGAAAAAGTGTTTTGTTCCAGAATGTGATAATGATTCACATTCATCTTCAAAAATTTCTGCTAATTATTGTCCCCTTCAGGAAATTGAAAATGAGACTACTGTAAAGAGTTATAAGAAGGGTTAGTTAATTTAACATGTTAAAACCACATTCGTGTGTGAATTTTAAGCAAGTACATTTACTTAGTAATATCTGTATAATTGCTTGTTAACTTACAAGAACCTATTTTGTAAGAGTAAATATTAATTTAATAAATTTTTTTTGTTTGTTTTTTTAATTTAATTTACCTAATTATCACATTTCAGGGATTATAATGAGTTTTTAAACAGCCAATGTAATTTTTTATAAAATTTTAACTTTTCGAACAAATCAAAGAGGAATGAGTACCTGTATATGCATAGATTTTTTTGGGACTAAAACTACCAAAACAAAGGCACCAATTTACAGCAGTTTAAAATGAAACATTTTGACAAAAACGCCTATGTCACAGTGATAAATATTAAAAACAACCAAGTTCAGTTGAATGTGGTAGCAAAGTCTATATATTCCAATAAATCGGGTAACTACATGTGGTATCACTGCTGATAAATTTAAAAATATCACAATTCTTGCCACCTTTTTTAAAAAACCAGAAAGTGTGCCTTCTTATCAATCCATTATGAAAATGACAACAGTGATAAATGTGAAAAAAAAAATTTAATGTTGCTATTCGTTATTACGATAGTAAAACATGTTTGCAGTTCCGTTTATTTTTTATGAAAATCTAAGTAAAAACAACCAATGTCAAAGGGTTATAATTTTTTTTCTGTCGAACCAAATATATCACAAAATTTAAAAATTGATCATAGGTCAAGCTAAAGTAATACCTTTATTGATAATAGCATTAAAAAAGGAGAAAGAATAATATTGACTTAAGTTATTATTATTAACATTGGTGATTTTTAATAAAAACTCTTCAATTATTGTTTACAAACAAAAATATAAAAAATCTGTGAAAATTATATTTATTAACCATTTAATAAAAAATGAGAAAAATGAAATAAAAAACAATTTATTTACAAATAAAAAATATATATACAAATCCTAAGAATATAAAAGTACTGATTTATTTTCCTGTAGTGGATGAAGAGGTTTCTTTAACAATCTAGCCAAGTGTACATCAATATTTACGCATTTTGATAAATTAGAGCCTTTCCAATAACACTGAGTAGATGTTACAGATGGTTCCTCACTTCTTCTATGAAGCCACATATTTACAACCAACTGAAAAAAATAAAAGGGTTAGATATGCAGTTACAAAATAACTATATAACCAGCTACAAAATGCCTTTATTTTATGTAACAAGACGAGCAGAGCTTTACTAGCTCTGAACGAATCCAGTAAAGAACCTCGGATTTTCAAAACTTAAAAAAAAAAAACAATCTCACCACATTTTCACATTTTTGAAATATTATAGAGCTTTTCGAAAAAAACTGTCATTTTTAAAAATACAATTTTTTGTTTAAACAGCTATGTCTCATTTTAGGCTATTGAGTATTATAAAATAAAAAATTACGGGATGCTTTGTTAGCTTCAAACGAATCCAGCAGAGCACCCCAGTTTTTTTTTAAACCACACCACGTTTTTTGGCTCCTACAATATTATAAAATATTCGAAATTTGGCATTTTAAAAAAAATTCGCAATTCCTTGCTGACTTCAAAGTTTTTTTCTGAAAACAAATGTACTTACCACATTTTTAGGATTTTAAAACAGCCTAAACATGTGTCATAAGTAGTTGTTTTTATATCTAAAAAAAAAAACAAATTAAAAAACTGAAGTGTCCTGCTGACTTTGTTCCAACAAAGCACCCTGTATTATTTAAAAATAGCAATTTTTTTAGTAAAGTTTTACAATATTTCAAGAGTCTAAAAATGGGGTGTGGTTTTTAGAAAAAAGCTTTAAAAAACCGAATTGCTCTGCTGGCTTCTTTCGAAGGTTAGCAAGCACCATGTATTTTTAAAAATATAATATTTCGAGTGCATAAATATATGGTGTTTTTAAAGAAAAAACTTTATAAAACAGAGGTGCTTTGCTGACTTCGTTCGAAGCTATAGAGCATTTTAAGTTTTGCAAAAAACGAGGAGCATAAAATTTTTGAAAAGGGTATAAAAATAGCCTAAAAATATGGCATATTTTTTAACTCAAAATTTCATAGGTGCTCTGCAGCATTCTTTGGTATCATAATTATTACTAGGTTCACTAACAAAATCTGTTTCTAGATTATTTTAACACTTGCTGCGATTACAAAAAATGTCTATATGTCAAAATTAGAAAAAAAATATTTATAGGAATAAAGGGCCTTATACACTGTTTATTATATGTAATATAAAAACAAAAAAGCATAATAAATATTACAAACCTTGACATGCAGCATATCCTAAGTATATTGTGCACAAAAAATTTCATTTTTGTTAATTACAACAACCTCATCAGAAGGTTTTTGCCGTACTTTATGTTTAGGTGTAATTTGTCTCCTTCTCTCTTATGGAAAAAGAAATTATCCCCATATTCTTGCTTGGCAGATCTAAAAATAAAACCGGAGATAAATATGTTTTGCTTGCTCCAAATAAACTGTAACTACCTACTATTAAAACAAAGTCTTACCTTTCTGAATTTTGTAAACTGAGTATTGTTAAAAAATGCAGTAATCATCTCGGTAATCATATTTTCGTTTACAATGGGTAAAACACTTGATTCAACTTTTATAAATCCAGCTGATTTTCATATTAATAATAAAATTAAACCAAAACAAAAAACTAAGGTTAGGTGGTGTCAATTTTAATGTCACTTAGATGTGCGTTCACTTCGACATTCTGTTTGTCGGTTTGTTCGTTGGCTTGGTTTTGTATAACAAAAAAAACTTCGACACAAGATGATTGGTCTATTCCCGATGACGTATAATTTCAAATTTTAAATTTCAATTGGGCTTAATTTAAAAACTTTTGGCTTTTTTAACGAACTGACTATTTAGAATAACTTGTATAGCGACTAACTATTACAATATAATTTATAAAACAGCATATCTCACATGTGAACATGGCCCATTGTCAGTGCTGTGGCTTCAGTTAGGATTCATAAAATTAGTTTATTTTGCGTTCTTGGAAATTTTCGTGAGTGGCTTGCATTTGTGTCGTGTTTTTCTAAATTCTTTTCTTGTGTTTATTATTTAATCAAGATGGCGTTGAGGAGACCTTTTCTTGATGTTTTTGATATTGAAACGGATAATGTGGAAGGCTCGGTTGAGGATAATTCTATGGCGGAGCCATAAGAATTTTTAAATAAAGACTTACATATTGCGTAATATTTTACTAGTGTGGCTGCAAGTACAAAAAAAAAATAATAAAAGAATGGTCATAATGGAGTCATCTCACATGTGAACATGGCCCATTGTCAGTGCTGTGGCTTCAGTTAGGATTCATAAAATTAGTTTATTTTGCGTTCTTGGAAATTTTCGTGAGTGGCTTGCATTTGTGTCGTGTTTTTCTAAATTCTTTTCTTGTGTTTATTATTTAATCAAGATGGCGTTGAGGAGACCTTTTCTTGATGTTTTTGATATTGAAACGGATAATGTGGAAGGCTCGGTTGAGGATAATTCTATGGCGGAGCCATAAGAATTTTTAAATAAAGACTTACATATTGCGTAATATTTTACTAGTGTGGCTGCAAGTACAAAAAAAAAATAATAAAAGAATGGTCATAATGGAGTCATCTCGCATCGTAGCATGGCGGCAGGAGTATTTACGAAAAGTTAAGCAATACCGCCAATCAAAAAGAGAGATAGTGTACCTTGATGAAACTTGGTTCGACACCATGATATTGTTAAATATGTTTGGGTGGATGAAGGTAATAAGTGCTCTCTAAAGGGACCTTGTTCTCGCGGTAAACACACACACAGGCAGTAATAAGGGTTTGGTTTCTAATGCTTTTCTATTGTCAGCTAAAAATTTTTCTAAATCCGAATTGATACGGTTACATGCATCTTCAGTCATCTCATTTTATAAGGGAAACTATAATACAGCTGTGTGTCATCTGCGTATAAATGAGCTTTGCAAAACTGTAGAGAGTTAGTAGGTAGGAGGTATAAATTGAGAACAACACAGGACCAATAACAGTCATCTACTGACTACCATGAAGATATGCCAAATCTTT